GGCAGCCCAGGACAGACCCAGCTCTCTTAAACAGCTTGTTTAGTCTCTCTTTGTCCCTGTCCATGCTACCTCCCGGCCAACCCACAACAGCGTAAAAAACTACAGATGCCACCACAGTATCATAAAATATCTGAAGGAGTGCCCCACGCACACCAGAGGACCTCAGTCTCCTCAACAAGTATAGGACCATTTACCATTTACCTCCCACCTGATGAAGACCATGGAGAGGATTGTCCTCGGCCACCTCTGTGCCCAAGTGAGCTCAGCGCTGGACCCGCTGCAGTTTGCATATCGACCTGGCATCGGGGTAGACAACGCTATTATCTACATGCTGCAAAGAGATTGACCCCCAGCGGAAATCACCAGCACTCACGCCAGTGAGCTTTCAGGGCTCAGATATTGAGATTGGGGACACCTTTAAATACCTGGGGGTCCACCTCAACAACAAAATGGATTGGACTGAAAACACTGATGCCCTGTACAAGAAGGGCCAGAGCCGCCTCCACTTGTATAGCTCCTTTCTACGCTTTTACAGCACACTCAAAGCGCTTTCACATTATTCGGCCATTCACCCATTCGCACTCCCAAGCACTCACGCATTCACACACCGGTGACATCACCGGGAGCAACTGGAGGTTCAGTGTCTTGCTCAAGGACACTTTGACATGTTGACTGGACAAGCCGGGAATCGAAACGCTAATCCTCTGGTCTGTAATGGTTTCGCTCCTTGGGATGAGTTATTTTAGGAACTGGGACCACACAGGATGTCTTCCACAGAACCGAACTCTCTCCAGGCTAAGACTCAGATTAAACATGTACAGGACCGCTTCACTGAGCTGGTCTGTACACTCCCTGAGGACCCTGGGGCTGATGTGGTCAGGGGCTGTGGCCTTCCTGGCCTTAATCCTCCTTAACTACCCCCTGACCTGGTCCACCATGAGGCTGAGGGGACGGGTGGGCGGTGACTGCTCAGGAGCTGTGGGATGTTGAGAACCCCGCATGACAGTGGGAGGAGGGGCAAGGTCTGGCTGAGGTGTGAGCAGCTGCGAGGAGACAACTGACCTGGAGA